AAAGTTTTAATTTGTGACTGTTGAAAGTCAGTAATATTAAGTGCATTCTGTTTTGTAATTTTACCTTCTGTTTTAGATTTGGGGGTATGTGTGCAGGTTTGTTGTGCAGGTCTAAGTATACTCTTAATTTAAAATGGAAATGTTCATGACTACCACATTCTTGTTAGAGGGAACAAAACTAATACCCGTACTCAGTGATGGAACTATGTGCTTTGGAGTCCACACTCCAGGATGAACAGTTGTAAATTGTTAATATGACTCTTGTTACTTTGATAGACATAAATGACAGCCTACTTTTTTTTTTTTTTAATTTTCATTTTGTTTACAAAAACAAACTCTTCAGTTCTAACACAGTGGCTGTGAGCAGGGACTCTGGAGCCAGACCAGCTAGGTTTGCAGGTCCACATCTTAGTAGTTGTGCGACTTTGGACAAGTTTCATAGCCTCTTTATACCTCAACTTCCCCATCTAAATTGACGATACAAATAGTACCTACCTGAAAGGCTTATCATGAGGATAAGAATTAATATATGTAAAGCTCTTAGAACAGTGTCTGGTGCATAGAAAGCGTAATATAATATACGTGTTTACTGTTGTCACTGTTTTCTATAAGATAAGAATTTTGTCATAAAGTGTCACGAACAGATGCTAATGGTCTGAACCAAACCAAAAATGGGAAGGCAAGGGACTAGAAAATAAACTTTAAAGACATTATCCAACCATAGACCATTCCCAGGGGTACAGGGAGAGAAAAGCAGAGGGGTAAACCTCACTATGCATCCCGGAGTAGAAGGCTGTGGGTACATTTAATCAGATCCCTGTTTCTGCTCACAGACAGAAATGCACTTGAGTGCTTGTTACCAGAGCTAATAGAGGCAGAAGGGAGGGCGAAAAGGGGGCAAGCAGAGAACTGAACCAAAGAGCACAAGCTGACTTCCATAGTTCCTTCATTCTCATCAGAACACTCATAATCTAGAGTCAGATTCACTAATGAATTCATTTTCCAAGTTTAGCTGGGTGAATTTCAGCAAATTATTTAGCCTCTTTGAAGCTGGCTTTTTATAAAATGAAGATGATGATAATAAGACTTCTTAAGATTGTTAAATTGAAGGAAACAATCCATGTAAAATGATTAGCTCGGTACCATCAACACAGAAAGTGACCTGGGTGATGATAGTCATTATCCTCATAAGTTGGTGTGTAGAATTCCAAACACCTGAACCCTGACCTGACACTGCCGCTGCTTCTCTACTTTTTCTCATTCCTCGGGCATCTGAAGGAAATAAATACACAGAGACCAAAACTAAACCAATGCCCATACTTTATCTATCACTGGGAAGCTTTTGCCTTATTACAGTAAGCCCCAGCTGAGCTAGACCGACCTGTTTGGAGAACTAGATAATGGAGTTAAATTTGATCTTTCACTCAACTCTGCACCAACATAGCTCTCCTTTGCCAAGACAGAGGCTCTAAAAGCAAGTTAAGAAAAGCAAATGTTTTTGTTCCTAAAGCTTAGAGCTAAATTTGCCTAAGTCACTCTTCTGAGGTTTTCTTGGAGTGGGACATTGATGTGAAAGAGAAAGAAAGAGGCAGTTTTCAAGGTGGGAACAGGGTGACAAACCAGTTCAGAGGGAATTCTTAACAGTAATCCCTAATGGTGGCTTAGGTCAAGGTGGAGGTAGTGAGAAGTGATCAGATTTTGGATATATTTTGAATAAGGAGCCTACATAATTTGCTGATGGATCATGCGTGACATGTGAGAGAAAGGAGGAATTAAAGGTGACTCCAAAGCTTATGACCTGAGAAGCTGAAAGGACGGAGTGTTTTTACTTTCATTTACTTGGTCAACATTGCTTGCAGTCTTGTTACCCAAAAGGTCCTAACGTTGGCTGGAGCTGACTTTTCAATCAAGATAAGTTGTATAAAAATATCTGTCTGTATTTCCCTCAATAATGATTCTCAGTGTAGAAGGCTTATAAATCTCGCTAGATTTACCCTTAGGTGTTTGATGTTTTTAAATGGCGTTACAAATTTTCTTTTATATTTATTTGCTGCTGTAAACCGATAAAAGAATTTATCCTTGCTTATTGACCCTATACCCAACAGCATTGCTAAATTCCTCTATAAAATTGTAAAGATTTTCTGTGTACGTAATTATGTAATCTGCTAATAACTACAGTTTTATTTCTAATCTTTTTGTGCTTTGCTTCTTTTTCCTTCTTTATTGCACAAACTAGGACCTCCATAAGGTGTTAAATAGAAGTGTTGATAGTGGGTATCTTTGTTTCATTTTTATTCTCGGGGGATGTTTGTAGTATTTTATTCTTAAGTAGGATGTTTGCTGTGACTCTTAAAAATGTTCTTTATAAGATTAAATAAATTACCTTCTGACCCTAGTTTGCTGAGAGTTTTTATCGTGAATGGAAGCTTGTTAGAGATACTGAAAGGCTTTATTGTTATGGGTGGCTTTGGAGTTCTCAGCCCTATCGGATCCCAAATCCCCTTCCTATAATACATTTTAAGAAAAGCCTCCTTTACCATACCTAAAGTGAAATTCATAGGTAATATAATCCACTTGTGCTATGTATTTTATATATATATATATAAAAAAATAGAGAAGAAATAAGGGTAATTTATAATAAAATAGTGTAGTCATCATGTAAATGATCTGGCGTGACTATATTATCATATAATATATTACCCATCAAATATCCACAGCATTTTTTAGGGTGGGCTGCCACTCCCATTCAGCATCATTGTTTGAGAGGATAATAGCACAGGTTTACATGTATAGCAGACTTCTGGGATTAGAGATGAATCAGTAGTACTATTAGGAAATACCAGCCATCATTAGGATAGTTTTAAGGCTTTTTTTCTTTTTTGTGATTTCTAGGGGAAAGTTTACTTATTCAACAAATAAATACCTACTGAGTATTTGGCACATGCCAAGCACTATTCTATGCGTTGCTAATAAAACTGAATAAAACAAAGCTGCTAGCCTCTTAGACCTTATGCTCAGTAGAAGAGAAAGGCAGTAAATTAATAAATATGTAACATGTAAGATAGTGATAAACGCTACAGTGAAAAATAGGCAAGGTAAGGAGCTAAGAATGATGGGTGTGTGGGGGGGTGGCAGGGAAGTAGGGAAGAAGCTTGAGCAGAGATCTCTGAATGTTCATATCTGGATGTAACCTTTCTAGGATGGGAAAGGAGGGAGCACACTAGGCATAGAAGCTGAAAGACAGCAAATTGTTTAGCACCTAACAAGGTGCCAGGCATCATGTTAGGTGCTTTGCTTACACTGTTTTATTCCTTCCAGGAATCTTATGTAGAGAGTGATGGTGTGCTCAATTTACAGATGAGGAAATTGAGGCACACACATTAGAAAGTGATGTAGCTACAATTCAAATCCAGACCCACCTGGTTCCAAAGCTAAGGAATTGGTGAAGGAATGCTTTCAGGAGCCCTCTTCTTTTAGTGGTCTGTCACATTGCCACAAGAGTAATTACATTTCATTCGGAGAAATGAGAGAACTGGATAGAGGACTTGAAAACATAATCATTTACATTTTTTCATGAAGCATTTTAAAAATATTTGAACCAGCCAGGCACGTTGGCTCACGCCTGTAATCCCAGCACTTTGTGGGGCCGAGGAGGGCAGATCACGAGGTCAGGAGATTGAGACCATCTGACTAACATGGTGAAACTCCATCTCTACTAAAAATACAAAAAATTAGCCGGGCGTGGTGTCGGGCGCCTGTAGTCCCAGCTACTCGGGAGGCTGAGGCAGGAAAATGGCATAAACCCAGGAGGCGGAGCTTGCAGTGAGCTGAGATCGTGCCACTGCACTCCAGCCTGGGGGACAGAGTGAGACTGTCTCAAAAAAAAAGAAAAAAGCAGTATTTGAACCAGTAAAGGCTTTGAAATATTGTGAGTGAAAAACATTCCAAATTAAGTTAGAATGAGTAAAATTGTTCATTTTCGTGGGCTTTCCATGTTTTTATTCCTATTACCTCCTAAAAGTTTTTGTTTTGCTTGGTCATTTCCATAGTTGATAATACCAGTGACTATGCATGAACATAAAACTCATTCATTTTCATTGTTTAATACTAAAAAATTTATTATCTTAGATTTATGGTAGGTTTAACATAAATAAGCAATTCTAAACTGAATGCTTTCTTAGGTACCAAATATCATCTGATGGTAATATATGCATTGTTAATACTGTAAAATTAACGAACTTCCTAAGTGGAAGAGGTTGTATTATACTTTTTACCCTCTATGGTGTCTATTGAAGGGCTGTTCAGTTTGTAAAAGTATTTATATTTTCCTAGTACAAATACTGTAAAATTAAGGTCCAGATTCACTAAATGATCATGGCTAACATTTGAGTGATGTTGCCTCTAAGCATTACTCTGAGTGCATCACATGCTTTGAGCCTTTTATTTGAATGTCAGCATATCTAAAATAACGGAATATTTTATTAGCTTATGTTTCCTGTTCATTTTAGTAGTCCCAGGTTGTGGCTCTAGAATAACTGAAACACTGTGGTATACTAAAAATTAATTGTGGGAAGCTTTTGATGTAGTTTTAAGGTGATTAAGCAGAGACAGTCCCCAGAATATATGTGTGCCAGTGTCACTTCTAATAGTTTGTGTCATGTAAAATAAGAAATCAAATGTTTAAAAATGTTGTTAATGCTGACTGTAAAATTAACAAACTGCTGAGGCAGAGTTCAGATGCAGAGATGCAGAGGACGTGTTCCTAGTGAGAATACTTTGGATTCCTGTGAAATTGTTGTGGGTAAAACCAAGTCTAAAAAAGTAAACCTTTCACAAGAAAACAAAATTTTCAAAGATAACTTGAAACATTGGAAATATTTTTATTTATCAGATGATTCATAAACATATTGTTATCGTCCATAAATTTAACATTTTAAAACCATTGGAGTATTTGTATTAACCAGATATGTATATAATAATAATGATTTATTCTTATAAAGGTTCAGAGGTCCAAAGAGGTGACATTTTGTGGATAGCCATGGCAGGGACTCATCAGATATGGGCACTCCTACTGGACTCTGGCAAACTGCCAAAGAAAAAGTAAGTGACAGCCTCTCTCTTTGAGTAGACTGTACTACTTTGGTGTTCATAGAGTTTCTTTTTTCAAAATCACTATCCTCACTGTACCAGTCAGGATGTGCTAGGTTATACTGCCATAGCACACAATGCAGATTCTCAGTGGCTTAAAGCAAGGTGTGTTTCTTGCTCACTCACATGGGTTCACTGGGACCACTACTCTGTTGCCCAGGCTGATGAAACAGCCTGGAGCTGTGGGGAGCTTTGCCAGTCATCCTGGCACAGGGAGAGAGAAAGAGGTGGTAAGTTACTCACTGACTCTTAAAATTTCTCCTCTGACACACATCACTTCTACTCTCATTTTATCAGCCAGAGTAAGTCTTAGGGCCACACTTCACTTCAGGGAACCTGCAAAGAATCATTCGCCTTAATGTCTAGGAAGAGAACTAAGAATATTCAGTGGGCCCTTATCTTTTAAGACATAGTTGAACTATTTCTAATAATTCATTCAAATAGTTGAATACCACATAGCAGAGTGCTTAATAACTCAGTTTTTGTAGTCAGGCCTGAGATTGAATCCTGGCTCTGCCATTTATTATCTGTGTGAGTTTAGGAGAGCCACTTGAACTTCCGAAGCTTCAGTTTCCTTCTTGATATTACCTCATAGGCTTGCTCTGAGGATTAATAATACATGTGGAGAGCTTGGCATGGTGCCTAACATGTACAGTAAACATAGGTGGCTTTGCTGTCACAAGGATATAAGGATGAAAGGGTCGTGTCTGCCAAGTTTCTCATATTTTTTCCTTAGAGCCTTTCCTCTTCCCCCACTACCCCGGGCAGAACGGGCCATACTCTTCTCTGTGACCTCACCGTACCTGGTATGTAGTTACATCACTGCACTAAGTTTTCCTGCCCCAACCCACTGCCCCTTCCTCTTTCTCTCTCTTCCCTCTTTTGACTGTTCTTATTTTTAGCCATTTCCTCCTACTAAACTGTCTCTTAAAGGAAAGAATCCTCCCATTCATTTTTGTGTCCCTTGTACCTAGCACAGTATTTGGTACCTAAGAGGAGCTCAGTAAGGGTTTGAGAATAAATGAGTAAAAGCCATTAACCAGAAAGGCTGTCAGATAGCCATGGAAGATGATCATCTCAAGTTACCATTAATAGAAAGCATCATTTATATAGATCATTCAAAATAGCAGATATTCCAAATAGTGTGTTATGTTTGTGCGTGTTGCTTTGGACACATTTATATAATGTGTTACGACATTTAATCATTTAGTAAATATTTATGAAACATACTATATGCTAGGCAATAGGGATGAAATAATGTGCTCACTATGTTAAGGATAAAATGAAAAGATGTGGTTGCTGTCATCAGCGAACTTACAGAGGAAGAATCAGATCAGCAAACAATTAAAAATTAGTGTGTGCAAAAGGAATCACTGCAAATTGAAATTGTTCAGCCAGGCGCGGTGGGTCATGCCTGTAATCCCAGCACTTTGGGAGGCCGAGGCGGGCAGATCATAAGGTCAGTAGTTCGAGACCAGATTGACCAACATGGTGAAACCCTGTCTCTACTGAAAATAGAAAAGTTAGCTGGGCATGGTGGTGCGCGCCTGTAATCCCAGCTACTCAGGAGGCTGTGGCAGGAGAATCGCTTGAACCCAAGAGGCGGAAGGTTGCAGTGAGCGGAGATTGTGCCACTGCACTCCAGCCAGGGTGACAGAGCGAGACTCTGTTTAAAAAAAAAAAAAATTGAAATTGTTCCTTATATAAGTAAGAGGAAGACGCAACATCAGTAAGATTTGGTTGTCAAGGAAGGCTTCTTGGAAGAGGCAACTAAACAGAGACCTGATAGAGTAGTAGGAGTTAGGGAGAGTGGGAAGTTTTCCAGGCAAGAATTGGCACTAGTGATGTCAGTAGAAGCCAGATCACACCATGCCTTGTGAGTACTTTTAAGGGATTTGGATATTCTACAAGCCTTTCTAGAAAGGTTTAAGCTGGGAAGTGACATGATTAGATTTGTGTTTTTGAAAGAACACTAGCAGCACTCAGAGTGGAATAAGACTAGAGGCAGAGATAAGAGATACCACTGAGGAGCCTATTTCTGTTATTGAGGCAGTAGATGATAGTAGCCTGAACAGTGAGATTACCAATAAGATTTTACATGAGGCATAATTGTAAACAGCAAACAGAAGTAACAGAAGTTGCCAGAATATGCTCTTCTGGGTGATGGCTGTTTTAGAGATAGATGGTCCAGAGCTGCCTAAATTTCCTCATAAGTAGAGTTGTCATTCTCCTTCATAATAGGAAATTGGCCCTAGGACTACACTGACCTGTATTTTAGTTTTAAGGATGTATTATCTTTACTACCAATCTTCAAGTAGTAATGACCCTTAGCATTTTAAGAGTTATTGTTTCTCCCTACTCTTTTTTTTATTTAATTAAGAAAACTCTTTTTTAAAGTATTAAGACTCCTTGTAGACTCCTTTCAATTAATTTGTTTAGCATATTAGTTATTACATACATGGTACTTGCTGTGTTTATACATTTCTTGAATAAGTGGCCATATTTTGTGCATGCTAAATCCCTTTGCCTCTGTCCCCTGCTCCTTACCTAACTTATTACGGGAACATATCAGCCAGTAAGTGATGGTGAATTCAGGCTTTTGCATATTCAGAAATGATTTACACAGACTCTCATTTAGTGTCCTGAGTCAACTGCCTCTCTTCCCTCAACGCAACACACTACCATGTCTTCCTTACAATCTCTCTGGCATAAACTTAAAAACCAGGGTCTAAAACTTTCTCTGCATTACAAAAGGAATCATTGCAATAGTTCTTTAAATAGAAATTTCCCTAATGTATATAAGAAATTGATTTGTACAATTGATATAATTGTACGTAATTATCTCATGCAATTGTAAGATAATTATGTACAATTATATCATTTTTCATATAATAGTAATGTCTGACCTGGCTATCTTTCTAAAACTATTCTTTAATTCCTTTTGCTAGTCTCTATTTGTATACAAGATCACAAAACATTTTTAATGAAAATTGAAGCTTTAAACTATCAAGGGCTAGATAATCTTTTTAGTTCCCTTTCAAGAACCTCATATTGCATGAAACTAAGAAGTTAAGAATTTGAGGTAGTAAAACCAACCTATCTCATCAATAATCTGATCATTATTTTTATCTTATAATTCTAACTCTATCAGGGATTACTCGTTTAACATTTGAAAGTGATTTCAGTTTTGTGTATGTCAAAGTAAAGTAAGAAGTTCCCTACACAGTGGGTAAATAAGTTAATGGTTGGAAAAATGACAGTGAAAGCTGACTCGAACAATTTAAGTAGGCCAAGATCACTAGTTTATTTTTTACGAGGCTTATCACTATTGATTTGATTGTTTACATTCATTTATTTAAGAACTAAATTGCACACAATATACCACGTGTTAACTCCACCTATGAACTTGTCTTTTTCAGTGAGTTAACAAAAGGAACCTGCCTTAGGTTTGCTGGAAGTGGAAATGAAGAGAATCGAAACAACGCCTATCCTCACAAGGCAGGTTTTGCCCAACCTTCAGGCCTTTCCTTGGCCTCTGAAGATCCCTGGAGCTGCTTGTTTGTAGCAGATAGTGAGAGCAGTACAGTGAGAACCATTTCTCTGAAAGATGGAGCAGTGAAGCACCTCGTAGGAGGAGAAAGAGACCCCATGGTAAGGACAGTCACTCTTGCACAGTGCGCTCAGACACTGAGCAAGCTGTCAATTTTGTGAATTATAGAAAATTAATAAGATTTAAAAGAGATCATCCTTGGCCTATCTGCGAATCAAAATGAAAGTCAAACCAAAGGAAATGTGAGTATAAAGCAACATGAGGAACACTCCATCTAAGAAAAGTGAACTGACTCTATTATGTATAAATGTTAAGGTTTCCGGGAGAAAGAAAGGATGAAGCATTGATTATTGGAGAAAAGAAAAAAAAATGTAAATTAGATGTTGGACAGTGGGGTGGAAACAGCACCAGACTAGTGGATTTGACCTATTCCTAACCAGATGTAGTATTGTGAGTAAAACTACTAAGCACCACAGATTAATACAGGTTCAAAATACTGTCATTTTTTTCTAATCTGAATCAAGTATCCAACCCTATTTATATGAAAATCAGCATTTTCCCTTTTAACTTAAATACTATTTATAGCTATTTGAATTTTCACTTCATATCCTAGCAAAACACTGTACAAGTTATAATAACTGCTGTTTCTTTTCTTTTTAAAAAAATTGAAGAATTTATTTGCTTTTGGTGATGTTGATGGAGTAGGAATCAATGCAAAGCTTCAGCACCCCCTTGGAGTAACATGGGACAAAAAAAGGAATTTACTTTATGTGGCAGACTCCTACAATCACAAGGTGAGTCGTGACAGAATTATATAATATCTTGCTTTTTGTGTGTGGCGTTTAAAATGCTGAAAGATCTGTGAGCCTCCTACAACTGCCACTCTAAAATGTAGAAAGGAGTAACAGTATTTGACAACTATAACCCAGCCTGTTCTGCTCTTTTCTTGGTCCTTTCTTTGCCAAGAGGTTATGATGGTATTCTGAACTAGGGAAAGCACTGAACCAGTTCCAATGGCAATAGCCAATAGTTGTGAATTGTAACCCATCAAAGCTGCTTAGTAACATATTCAGTATATCAAGAGAAGGCAAGTAGCAGGGAAATTAATATGTCAACTAACAAATGAACGTTTTTGAGCTGTTGCATAGTTACAGTGCCTGTTAGTAAATAATTTTGTTTTCAGCAGCATTTCCATTTTTGTCTATTAAATTGTTTTAAGTTTTATTGCACTTTTACTTTTTACAAAAAATCACTGGATAGTATTCATACAGTACTTCATGATGTGAGACCATAAATTTAATATAATTGAGACATAACTGGCAATCATTAAGTTTAACAAAGTTAGCAAATCCTCAGGCAATGCTGGATGCTCAGGAAGACAAAGTCAGTTCAGTTGTGAAAGTGTGTCCCATTGTGAAGAAAACACAATTCAATTAAAAAAATTTTTTTTTAATTCCAGAAATGATTTCATCAAAGATTGCTTCCAGAAGACAAGATGGAGCTAGGGATTTTACGTAGTTTTTAGTTCTTAGAATAGAATATCTCCCCTTAGACTGTAATTTGAATGTTTGGCTTTTCAAGAAAATATGGAAATAACTATTCCTTTTGTGAGATTTATTGAGAATATTAATGGCAGTCAGAAATTAGCTTGCTTGATACTATATTCTGCAATACTGCAAAAATGAGATTGATCTTTTTTGTTCTTTGTTTTTTAGATTAAAGTTGTGGATCCAAAAACAAAAAACTGTACAACATTAGCAGGAACTGGAGACACAAATAATGTTACCAGTTCCAGTTTTACCGAGTCAACTTTTAATGAACCAGGAGGCTTGTGTATTGGAGAGAATGGACAATTATTGTATGTGGCAGACACCAATAATCATCAAATTAAAATAATGGATTTAGAAACAAAAATGGTATCTGTGGTAAGTAATTTTAAAATGTAAGTTAAAGGATATGGTTTTAAGAATGATACTAAGATCCTTACAGCACTGACAGGCATTTTTGGTTAGGCGCTCTCCAAGAGAGTAGTAAGTGGATGCTTCTGTTGTGTTCTTTGACAGAGAGACCAGCAGGACTGCTTTAAGGATATCCTTCTGTTCTTAAAATAAAAGTTCCATCTGTGCTGAGAGTTTGAAAAAAATACTGGAAATTGGAGAGAATCTAATGAACCTTCAAGAAAAAAAAAAAGGAGAGGACTCAGATCTGTTTTTAAGTGTACAGACATACTGACATACAGTACATACACCTGCTCTGTGGGTTGGGTTATTTAGCTTTTTGTTTTTTTCAGTGATCTTTAGATCAGCGTGTAGCCTTTGTTTCCCTGTGATGAATCCATTACCAAATAATCATCTAACAAAAGCTTTAGAAGCCACATTTCTCAAGACATTGAAAATAAGATTGTGGAAGAAACTTATTTAAATGAGTTATAGTCAATTTTTAAAGATATGGACATGGTTTCTTATAGAATTTTCAAGGAGAAATATCTGTTATAAACTAATTCTTGTTGTATGACATGTACCTGAAAAAAATGCAGCAGTTTTTTTCTGAAAGTCTGGTAATTTACATGGTATATTTTTAAAATAAAAAACACAGATTACTGTTGCAATGTAAGTGTCATTTCTCTTCACATAGATCTCTGATATAAGATGAGTAACATCTTCTTATAGTTGACAATGAAAATTATAAGAAAATGTATATCTACTGTGTTTAAATTTATAAACTTTTGCTAATCTCCTGCCATCTATATATAGTGGACAGTTACTTTTATTCTGTCTCATTCATAAGTGTTGGGTTTTGTTGTTGTTGCTAAGATAAATTACTTCTGTGTCTACAAAAATCTTGAGGGCCTCTAACCAACACATTCTAATTCAAACTAGAATAGCAATTAGTTTCATTGACATAGAACTTCATTATTCTACTAAAGTCTAAAAATATGCTTTCTCATTCTATAATTAATATAAAGTTCTTATGTTTTAATAACAGATTTTCTTACTTCCTAGCTCCCCATCTTCAGATCTGAAAATGCTGTAGTAGATGGCCCATTCCTGGTAGAAAAACAGAAGACATTACCCAAACTACCTAAATCTGCTCCAAGCCTTAGGCTTTCCCCTGTGACTGTGTGTGCTGGCCAGACTCTTCAGTTCAAACTCAGATTGGACCTCCCATCAGGATCAAAGCTAACGGAAGGAGTACCCAGTTGCTGGTTTCTAAGAGCTGAAGGTATGAGTGTAAGCTTGCAAATACTAATACATCGTACATTCTTGATGTTTAATCTAGTTATTTTTTATTTGTTAGGAGATATTTTTACTCTGTATGGGCAAGATTTGAAGGAGATGATGTGAACAAACGAATCCGGATCCAACCCCACATTGGCCATTTGCTTTAGTCTTCAAGAGTCTTTCCTCCCTTTTATTAAAGAATAGTGTAACTCACCAAAAGTTACAAGTCAGTTATTAGCATGATTGCTTGGAATATGGGCTTTCCTATACCTCATCACTTATTCTGATCTTGTTCTTCATTCTATTCTTGTTCCAAAAAGAATCTTAAAAAGTCTGAAATAGAAAAATAAAGTGGAGCCTCCTTATTTAACATCTTTTTTTGTAACTCTTCCTTTCAGTCACTGTTACGCATTCCTCCTTTTCTTCTATTTGTGAATCACAGTGTGAGCTAACTCCTTACTTCATTAGTCTATGGTAAGGAATCAGTATACTGCTTGCCTTGCAGTAGTGCTTTCCAACATCTGTAACCTGGTGGACAAAAATTTTAAAGTGAAATTTTAGTGGTTCAGGACTTCTAAATTACAACTGGTCTCTAATGATGTTCCTCTGTCCTGGTCTCCCACGCTCTTTCACACTTTCTCACTCAATTTTCCATTTCCTTCCCAACTCCTCGTCCTTCATACCCTCTCACACACTTTTGTATATTACCCAAATCCTGGGTAATTCATGCCTTCTTACCTTCGACTTTCTCAGGGCAGCAGCTACTGGCCTGCAATTATAATATCAACTTAGTGTCTAAACCAAGAGGATAACGATACCTTGGTAGACTAGCTGGGAGGAACTGCTGGTTAGTGTTTGGGAGGCTGATTCTAGGGTGATTGAGTCTGTAGGGAAACCACTGCTTGTCACTCCCCACAAGGGAGAAGGCTAACCATGTAGTAGTAGGACCTTTGGAGCTTGCTTTGTAGACAGAAGAATACTCAAACCCTGGCCACTCCATAGCTATCTGTGGGTTCGGAGCAAGTCCTAGACTGCCAATTTAAGTCTGGAAGTATTACATCAGTTGGAGATCATTAATTTAATTTTTCTCAGTGTAACTGTAAGAGCAGTCACTGTAAGAGTATTGTATTAAATGGTGTCACTGTGGGAGCAGTATATTAATTTTTAAAATAGGATATTGACAAATTAACATTTATCTGCATTGTCAGACACACTAATTAATATTGAGTCATTGGGATATAAAATACAGATAATATTCAAGTAAAGTAGTCTATAGAGACTTTATTTAATTTGTCTAAGATATTGGCCCCATTTTTGTTATATAGGAGCAGATAATTTTCAGGCAATAATCCTAATTAAAGTTTTTGAATATTATAGAGTACATTTGTACACTTATATTTAAAGGACATTTTCTCTTCTGGCTTGTTTTTTAGAAACACTTATTTTTAGCCAAATTTTGGTCTGTATAATCTTAAAGAAGTTAGAATATATGCAAGTTTTAAGCCCAAAAAAAGCAGTATAAAAGCACTACGTGTATTGTAACTTCACAAATTGTGTGTGTGATATATATGAAAAATATCTAAAGAAACATTTTCTGTTTTATTTCTAGATTTGGACATTAAAATAGCTCAGTATTACTTTCTTTGATTTAAAATATAAGAAGTTGGCTGGGCACAGTGGCTCACACCTGTAATCCCAGTACTTTGGGAGACAGAGGTGGGCAGATCATGAGGTCTGGAGATCGAGACCATCTTGGCTAACACGATGATACGCGTCTCTACTAAAAATACAAAAAATTAGCCGAGCTGGTGGTGGGTGCCTGTAGTCCCAGCTACTCAGGAGGCTAAGGCAGGAGAATGGTGTGAACCCGGTGCCACTGCACTCCAGCCTGGGTGACGGAACAAGACTCCGTCTCAAAATAAATAAATAAAACAAAAATAACATATAAGAAGTTCTCTACTGATCTCTCTAGCAAAGTCATGCATAAGATAAAAGATACTCTCCAGTCCAGGAATAAGCAAAGAAAACCAAAGAATTTTAAAGATAATTTAAAAAGAATTCTTTAATAGCTTCAACATAGAAGTTTTGTACTTCTCTCTCTAGATTCTCATCTTTCACCTTACTCTTATTTGACATATTTTTCTCAAATTTGATTTTTCAGTAAACTAAAGCAATAAATTAAAAGAGACATCAAGAGGACTGATAAAGGCAGGTACCCTGAGTTGGCTGACTCATCCTGAGAACAAAAGAAAGAGACAGAAAAGCTAAAAAGTAGACAGCATTTCATCACACTCAGTAGATGGTCCAGTTTTTGTACAGATGCCCCAAGTAATTGATAAGTGATTAGAAAATGTTCAGTGTTCTCCATTTACATGGTGGGAAAGCATTTCATATATTTGCCAAATGCTGACTCTTGACGCTGCCACCCTCTTAGGCTGAATGTCTGTATGTGTCTGTGCTTCCCCACTGTCACGTGTGTTCCTTCTAAGAGAAGGTCGAGATGAATAAAGACATTTAAAGATGATTTTAATTTTTGAGGGCTTAAAATTTGTTAGTGGTTTATTCTAATTTTGTTACAGATAATCTGTTTATTTCTAGAAAGAGTTTTATATGTTAAAATGAGATATACAAAATCCCTTGGTTTTCACATTACTTAAGCCCACAGAGAATAGATATGCAGTGATACCTGTTTCTAAATAAATGTGTGTGTTTTTAAATTATTTTTTAGATATTTAATAATTCATTATTAAGCAGAAAGTCACTATAGAGTTGCACATACATTTGTATTCCCTAGATAAAATTTTATTTTGTAGTTTTTATATCCCTGAAGACTTTTATCTATTTGGTAAAAATGTTCCATTTTATCATGTGTCATATGTTTATTTCTAAAATTTAATAGGATTTGTTTTTAACTTTAGAGATTAAGGCTTTATAGCCATATTTTCTACATTCAGCTTGATTTTAACAGGAATAAATATGTAATTTGTCGTATCCAAACAAAGGAAGAACTATAATAATTAGATATAATGATCATCAGACTGAGAACTTCTAATGAGTGGTCAGTGTATATTATTTATATTTATGTCCTTCCCACAGACCACAGTGCCTGGCAGTTAGAGATTTTTAATAAATATTTGTAGATTGAGTTTACCTAGTCTTCATAAGATAGTCCCAGTTTTCTACTTGTCTTATACAGTCTTAATAATTTCCTTTTTAATTTTTAGGCAATGAATGGCTGCTTCAAGGACAGATGCCATCTGGGGATATAGAGAACATTTCCAGTCAACCAACAATTTCACTACAAATTCCTGATGATTGCTTATCACTTGAAGCCATTGTATCTGTCAGCGTGTTTCTTTATTACTGTAGTGCAGACAGCAGTGCTTGCATGATGAAGGCAATTTTGTTCAGTCAGCCTTTACAAATAACGGATACACAGCAAGGTTGCATAGCTCCTGTAGAGCTCAGGTATGTATTTTAGCCAGCCAGCTAGCTAGCAACCCGTTGCCACCACCTGCTGTCCCCCATCCTGACTGTTTCTGTAATTTAAGGAAAGAAGACTTCAGTTCTGCCTCTGGATAACAAGATGCCCATTGCTCAGTTCTAATAACTGATATTAAAATAAAGCTATGCTTCTTACTTACTTTTTTTATTATAAACAAACTCCTTTGCTCTGGCTGATACTAGCTGAGTCATTGATCATCATTGGAACTGTGATACTGTAATCTGTGTTGCTATTTGGCATAAGACTGAAGTTCACACTACAGTAGAGAATACTATAAGATAATTTGCAATGAATACTGATAATAATAATACCAGATATTTTAACTAACTTTTTCTACCTTTATTAATAACAATCAGCACACTTGAATGTGTAAATTTTACAGTAACTTTAGGCAGAACTTAAGCTCCAGTCCACATTTGTATAAGAACACCAAGTATTCAAGGCATAAAGTCTGTTGTAAGCCAAAAAAAGGTCTTTTCATCACTATAGAAGCTTAAGGAGTACATCAGTGGTAAATACGATCTTTATTCTCTTCTGTGGTTTTCTCAGTTGAGATATTTTTAAAAGAGAGTTTTTATCTATTTTTATTATAAATTATTTGTTGTTTAACATACCATTATGAATGCCTTAAAACTGTACAGATAAAGTTGGACATAGAATCTCTAAGCACCGACTCCTTTAGCTGTTTTTGAGTGACTGTATTACCAGATAATCCCAGAAGTATTATGACTTTCAAGGAAAAAGGGACTTCAGGACACATTACTTATTGTCTGTGATAAATAATTTATTTTGACAGCTAAATTTGATGGTTATGTATCTTGTTTTGGAAATGTACATTTCACTTGTAAGCATTAAATGCAGATTTGTTGGGTTTAGGTTTTGAGGTTTTTTGTTCCCCTAGTCAGAATTTAAATTATGGTCATTTATTGTGATGTTTTTAAAAATCACTTTTAAGCCTTCAAAGTGAAATTTTCAGTGTGAGGTGCTTTAATGCTGTTAATAGATACAGTATATCCTAATATATTACTCTTCAAAATATTAAGGCCGAAACAGTGATTTAATGATACTATTTTTAAATTTTTGTTTTTTAACCCTTAAAAAAGATACTGAAAAGGTTTTTTTCTATTGTCATAGTTTATAACTACTTAAAAGCCTCATCTTGTTTTTCTTAAGACCTATTCAACATGTTTGTGATTTAATCAGCTTACAAGATTTTAAACACATCAGGTAAACCATGTTTATTTATTCAAATATTTATAGACATTATGGCATAATATGCTTCCCTTCCCTGTAAAAACAGTGCTAAATTTGAAGTGTAATCTTTTTTAAGCATCATTGTCTATTTTTAATTTTTTTTTTGAAATGTAGTACTAGTTTGTTTTATTCAAAGGTTAGCTGAATCTCTGAAGTAAGGATGTGTATAAATCATGACATTGATTTAATCAGTCATCTGCTGAAACTACTTTTAAAGAGAAATATAGATATAAAATTAAAAGGAATCTTGTTTAAAATTGTATGTAATTACCTCCTAAACCTTTTCTCTCTGCAAGCAATCAAAAAAATGAAATGTTCTGTAATAAAAGGGTGTATAACATACTCTCTTTTATGGAGAATAGTCCTTAGTTATTTTATTTTATTTTACTTTATTTTTGAGACATAGCCTGGCTCTGTGGCCCAGGCTGAGAGTGCAGTGGCACGATCTTGGCCCACTGCAACCTCTGCATCCCGGGTTCAAGAGATTCTCCTGCCTCAGCCTCCCGAGTAGCTTGGATTACAGGCACACGCCACCATGTCCAGCTAATTTTTTTGTATTTTTAGTAGAGACAGGGTTTCACCATGTTTGTCAGGCTGGTCCCAAATTCCTGGCCTCAGGTGATCTGCCCGTCTCTATCTCCCAGAGTGCTGGGATTACAGGCGTGAGTCACCGTGCCCTGCCGGCCGGCCTTAGTTATTTTTTAATCTCATTTGACTTACTATATTTCTCATTTCTAGATGGACAGGATGAGAATATTTTGACCCAATCATTTTCTGTTTAAGGACATAAACCATTTCACACTTAAGAAGCATATACAATTTTAATTTGCTAATTTAGAAATATCTGACAATTTATTTTTCAATATAATATACAAACACAATGTTTGTTATACGTGTTCATGTACAGTGAAAATGGAAAGGCATTTTTTAGAATCTATTCCCCTTCATTTGTCTAGACAGTTTTAGGTTAGCCTTAGCTTATACTTTTCTTGACTTTCAAAATACAGTTTTATTGAACATTCTTATTCTTACCCACTGCCAGTCTGCATTGTTTTTGACATTAAAAGTATTATTTATATAGATTAATATGATTTTGAATAAATCACACTTAAGCAATATAAATAGGTTCCTAGAGTTTATGACGAGGATAAACCTCTCACATAAGAGGAAGCACTAGAAAGTTTATTTTTGAAACTCGATCCATATCCTGTAAGGACTTCTGCATATTTTTTATCTTTTGCTTTTCTTGTTGCATAAATTATTATGTCCAGTGATAGTTTAAAAAGAACAAGATTTTAGTGTAAGTCACCTCAATTGAAATGCCAGTAATGTGGCATTACATACATTTTATATAATACCTGAATCTTTGCCCTAAATTATTCTGCTAGTTTGTCACTGTTTTTTTCCTCTTCTCTTTATTATTTCACAAATGGTAGAATTTCTTGATATGATTCCTGTAAAGAGTTTAGCTTATCTTGAACATTCTGTCTTAAGCAAATATTTAACAAGGGAAAACTTTGTAGTTCAATCACCCATAAGTGTAACTCTAGCAAAATTCAATGACTATGAAAAATAATTTTTTTCTTAACTGTTCTAATAATATTTAGTTATAGTGTTATCACACCTTCAGAAAGCTATAAATCCTAACACAGCCAGAAAAAAAAAATTTAGTATGTGTATATTTATATAGGTGTGTGTGTACATACACAAAGATTAAGAATTATTTGTGATTCTTTTATGGCCAATATACTTTTGAGCTTATACAACTGAGATAAATTACTCTTTGCTTGTTTTTCTGTAATTGGAAAATTTAGGAAGATATTGAAAATACATATCTCTATAATGTAATAATTTTCTGCCTGCACAAAGTTTACTATAATTTATGTCTACCAATTACAAATACAATAGTTAATTTGGCATCACATTTAACCACAGTCATCAAAATCTACTTAAATTCTATAGTTGACAGTTACATAAGAATATATACAGTGGGAAAATGTCAGTGGTTCTTGTGAATGATGGAATTATGGGATGTTTTTATTTTAATTCTACTTTGCTGTTTGTATTTTTTTTTTCTTTTCAGTGAGCAATGTGTTATTTTTAAAATCACGGTGGAGGGAAACCCATAAAGTTTAAAGAGTTAAAGTTAACTGAATCATAAGCACTTATATAATAACTTTTTTAAAGTCATTTTTATTACCAAAGCTCAGAACATTGTCTGGAATCCTTTGATCTACCGGTTCTCTTAAGTATGTGATTTTGTGAAGATAGCAATGGTTATGGCTTCTTTTGTTCTGGTATTTTTATTGTGTAACGTAGCATAGTGGTTAAGAGCTTGGATTTTGCAGTAACTTGGATTCTGATCCTTTAAAATGGGCTAATGTACCTGCCTCATATTCAATGAAATGTTGTGTGTAAAGCGCTTAGTAATTAATGAAACTGTTAATTATTGGCTTAGTTACTATAATGCTAATTTGGGACCATAAACACATATCACCCTACATTTTCTTTGCAACTGCAATTTGTAAAGGAAAATCTCCCACTAACTATTGGTTATGTTAATATTCTTCATAGAGTTGGGTTCAGGAAGAGAAATGTTTTATAATGAAGCATGTAACTATTTTATAAACAACATTATAGTTATAAAGAAGCATGCCTATAGTGTCATTAAAATTTTTTTAAACACTTTCTGGAGCTATAGGTAATGAACTTGCTTTGAGAGGGTCCAGACATACTCATCCTAAACCACATTCCTACAACTTATGCCCAACAGCTTGCACCAGAGTACTTACATCTTAACCAAAAAGTTTCACTCCAGTGGTGCTTCACAAAATCTTGAAAGTGCTTTCACATATATTGCCTCATTTGAGCTTCAAATAACCTTATAAATCGGTCAGGTAGATGTTAGTTTACAGAGGAGGAGACAGCTTTGCGATAGTGGTGACATATCTGAAGAATAGAAAACTCCCAGAATAGCGCTCGATGCCTAAAGTGGTGCCTGGTGCCAGCAGATGTTCAGTTCTGTCAAACAAGGGGAAATAGTGAGTGGTGGAGCCTTTATTCAGACACAGGTCTCCTCATTCCTAACTCTTAAGATGCAGGGGGAAAACAAACTGCTCAATTAAGAGTTCTTCCGTGGACGTTTTCTTAAGCCTTCAAATAAACAGAATAATAGATATTTATTGAGTAGATATTTATTGAGTTCTATTTGCCAGCACTCATCTATTAGTGATGAGTGACCTTATGTGAGAAATACCGTTTTTCCTTATTTAATTGGTGAAGAAACACACAGAGAGGGTAAGCATAATCAAATACACCAGCATAACCAAAATCACACATTTATGGAGTGGCAGGGCCTGTTGGGAGTCTGCTTAACTCTCTGCTATATTGCCTCTCAAAGTAGGTTTTCTTAAAACATAAATCTTTCATAACTTTATATATTTATAGTAACTTAATCCAAAGAACCCCAAAAGTACTAGCAATGATGGTTTCTGCAATTTAAATCTATTTAATTAAGCAACTATGCATTATATACTGTTATTCAGACCTTGGAACAGTCTATAATTGTTATTTGTCAAAAGATTTTATGTACTAATTTTTCTTAATTTCAGATATTATCCAGAGTTTTTCTTGGCAGATAGATGTATTAAAAAAATAGCTTTCCCATGTTAGCTGTTTCAAAAATTGTTTCAAAAGTTCTAACGGTTGGTCCTCAAAAGGTAATTAAGACCTTATCATAAAGAGTCTTTTGCACAGGACTATCTCAAACCCTAAGGAGGTTATTCATATTTAAGAAAATTTTGTTGTATTAAATATTAGTCCAAGTGAGCTCTAGAAATATAGTCTTCTGCTTTCTTGTTTCATAAATAACACTGGTATGTAGACCCCTCCCCATAACTCAAATATTAATATATGCAATTCTGTTATAGTAAAGTTTTTACCATGGTCAACCTATTCCAGCATTAGGTACTTTTTGTTGTTGTTTGTTTGTTTTTGAGATGGACTCTTACTCTGTCACCCAAGCTGGAGTGCAGTTGTGCAATCTCAGCTCACTGCAAGCTCCGCCTCCTGGGTTCAAGTGATCCTCCTGCCTCAGCCTCCCAAGTAGCTGGCGCTCACCACTGCTGGTACCCACCACAATGCCCGGCTAATTTTTGTATTTTTAGTAGAAACAGGGTTTCACTATGTTACTACTAAACATGTTTCACCATGTTTAGTAGAAACAGGGTCAGGCTGGTCTCGAACTCCTGACCTTATGTGATGCACCTGCCTTGGCCTCCCAAAGTGCTGGGATTACAGGCCTGAGCCACCATGGCCAGCCTAGCATTACTTGCTATTTTTTTTGTTTTGTTTTGTTTTTGGTTTTCTTTGAGGTGGAGTTTTGCTCTTGTTGTCCAGGCTGGAGTGCCATGGCGCAATCTCAGCTAACTGCAGCCTCCACTTCCTGTATTCAAGCAATTCTCCTGCCTCAGCCTCCTGAGTAGCTGGGATTACAGGCGCCTGCCACCACGCTTAGCTAATTTTTTGTATTTTTAGTGGATGTGGGGGGTTTGCCGTGCTGGCCAGGCTGGTCTCGAACGCTTGACCTCAGGTGATCTGCCTGCCTTGGCCTCCTAAAGTGCTGGGATTACAGGCATGAGCCACTTTGCCCAGCGCACAAAGTACTATTAAAAGAAATTAAGCAAAATGCTATGTACCAATGATTATGATTCATGATCACGTAAACACAGAATGCAGACTTATGTTTTCATCCTCACTGTGCTAATTAAGTAGTAGTATGGTACAGTAAGGAATTTGTTAATTTTCTTAAAAACTCCCTCTCCCGGGCCAGGCGCGGTGGCTCAAGCCTGTAATTCCAGCACTTTGGGAGGCCGAGACGGGCGGATCACGAGGTCAGGAGATCGAGACCATCCTGGCGAACACGGTGAAACCCCGTCTCTACTAAAAATACAAAAAACTAGCCGGGCGAGGTGGCGGGCGCCTGTAGTCCCAGCTACTCCGGAGGCTGAGGCAGGAGAATGGCGTAAACCCGGGAGGCGGAGCTTGCAGTGAGCTGAGATCCGGCCACAT